GAGCTCTCCACAAAGGTGTTCCTATCCTGTCATTACTGACAGGCTCAGCCTTGGCCAGTGGCAGGTCCATCTTTGGAGCCGGCTGGCATTGGCTCTGTCAGACCTTGGGGAAGCTTCTAGCAGCTTCTTGCAGAAGCCACCCCTACAGCCACCCCTGCTGCCAGAATCAGGTCAGGCAAACCCAATACAATAGCAGGTAAGACGGACGACCACTCTGAATATCAACAAATTAAAAAAATGAACTAATAGTAGTGTCTCATTACATGACCTAAATCCATTCTAAGGTACCTGAGATACGCTGCATTATGTGAACATGTAAGAATACAGTATTAATGTTGTTTAATTATCTGCCAGAGGTTTTTGTACATAATGACCTGCTCTTTAGCTAAGAGAGTTTTGCATAATTTCTGTCTTGACAGTGGCAGATGGAGAGGAAACTCCTGAATAAGAGCTGTTTATTTTAAGAAAAAAAAGACATTTTTTTACACTTTGATATTTAACTCAAGTACTTTCTGTTTTGACATAGGCTCAACTGTTTTTTCAGAAGATGTCCTGGAAAAGCTAGTGCTTATTCTAGCAAACCTATTTGGGAGAAAATACCTTCCAGCCCTTTTGATGAAATATAAACGCAATTTTTGCCAATCAAAGGTAAAGAAAGCATTGGTCTTTACTGTAACTGACTGTAACTGAGGCTGTGTACTACTTCAATGAACTTGTTTCCTTTTGTCAGTTGGACTAGTGTCATTATGGATGTAGAGTACCCTGGTGGGTCAGCAGGTAGCTGCCCACCCCACTGCTTACTTCTCCTTCTCAACAGGATGGGGGAAAAAAAAAAAAATTGCTTACCCGTTATGATCATGGGCAAACCAGCCTCAACTTCTGTAAAATTAAATTAATTTGTTGCCAATTCAAATGGATTTTGATATTGAGGAACAAAATATAAAAATTCCAACACTGCCTTCCCCCTTTCCCCAAGCTCAAATTCACTCCTTCGTTCCTGACTCCTTTACCTTCCCCCCACCCCAAGTGGTGCAGGGCTAATGGGAAATGAGAAATGAATTGTTGTGGTAAGTTCTTAACTGCTCCTCCTGCTGCTCCTCCCTCCTCACATATCCCCCCTGCTCCTGTGGGTCACCTCCCGTGTGTGGGCTGCAGTCCTTCAGGATGAATGTGCTCTGGTGTGGGCCCTCCATGGGCTGTAGCTCTGTCCAGAAACATCCAGTGCAGGTTCTTCCCAGGCTGCAGTGTGGATCGCTGCTCCGGCGTGGTCCTCTCCACAGAGACGGCTGCAGGGAAACCTCTGCTTCATCACATGGAGCACCTCTTCCCACTCCTCCTGTAATCTTGGTGTTCACACTGCTGCCTCTCACTCTGTCTGTGTGGTATTTTTGACTTTTCTTAAATAAGTTTTCCCAGAGCTGCTGCACCCTTGGCCTGTACTTATAGCAGCCAGTCCTGAACCACCTTCCTCCCCTGCTCCCTCTGCCAACGCCTTGCCACCTACATGCAATACAAATAGCTAGAATAGTGAAAAAAGTACTTGTCAGATTAAAATAAAGAAGTCTCGATTTAACCACAGAAGTGGCAACTGAGTGTCAGGTTAAATGAAAAGTACCAGATTATTCAAGTACATTTCAGTGATGACAGATGGTTATACAGTTACTGTCATGATACTGGAAAATGTAAAAAGATAAATGACACAGCATTTCTTTACACAATACAGCTCAAGTAGCTCTTCCCCAAATGGCAATTTACTTTCTTCTCCTACTTTCTTCTGCTAGAATTTTGTCTCCATCTAAGGAGCAGTAGCTTTTTGTGACACATACCAATGACCCAAAAGGACATCATCCATGCTTTGTAGTGCAGGATGCTGTAGGCTTAGGGCTTTTTCCAAAAATGAGACGTTACTAGGATGAGCATTAATATATAGTTATGCACAAAGTTAACTCACCAGGCAGAAAGCAGAACATTTGCAATATGCTCCTGTTGGCTCTTCTATGCAAAGCCTTAAAAATTTGGAGGACATATCTACGGCTTGGAACAACAAAGGCAACTTTTTTCAGATGAAGATGTTTATGTGGCCAATTTCCAGGAAGCGTTCCAAGAGGAAAAGTTCCTGACTGGTGGCTGGTCATGTAAGAGGGATTACAGGACAGCTGTGGCAAAGGGCAGCAAAACATCAGTCTGTCACATTGGTAGAGAACATCTTGAACATCAGGATATGCAAAACATGATCTGGGAAAGGCAGCCCTTCAAAAGTCCCTTCTTAGCTAGCTGCAACATCTTTAATAAAGCTGTTTGCCAGGTACTCTGTAAGTAAAAATCTAGGAGTTTTGTACTTAGTGTTTCTCTTCCAGGACTTTTTCTACATGAAATTCTTGATCATATTTAAGGTCCATTAATTCTAAATGGTCAGGCAGTCTGATAATTGTGGTAAAGTTTGGAGCTATACTCTCCTTCTTTCTCCTAATATGCTATGTGTATACTAATATTTTATGTATGCACCAACAGAAAGATGCTTTTGGAGAAATTACCTGCAGTAAGTAATAGATGGCATGTTATTGCAGGTCTTTCTAGAAGATCTGCCAAAAGACTTTGCTGATGCTGTAAATGAGTACAACACCAAAGTAGAGGAAAATTTTGCTCATTTTCTTCTGACAACTGCCAAGCTAGCAGATATGGAACAAGAATACAGACTTCCATTGTCAAAGACAGGTAGGAAGTGAAAAATTAATGCATATTCATAATTCATGAAATTGATTTTATTGGGAAATTTAGACTAATTCTTATTTCATAATGAAAAATTACTTCAGACACGTTAATAAAGAAATATAATTTATCTGTCACTTTTGTTCTACAAGCATTAGATCATATTGTATATGATTTATACAACACGTTTTATAGAAGTAAAGGATTGTTTTAGTTGTTATTATTTTATTATTTTGTAGAAGAAATATAAATCTTTACAAAATTTTTACAAAAGGAAAAAATATACTCAGTGTAATCATTGAATAAAAGCCTTTTTATCTAATTATCTACACATTTGCAGATCTTAAAATGCCTGCGATACCTGAATTACTTTCAGAGTCTTAAAAAGATTAGATTTTCAACATCTGAAGAGCCTTAAGGTTGAAGTAACAATTAGAGAACAATGCACCATTTGTAAAACCAACTAAGTTACTTATGCAAATAAATTATGTCCAGTTACCAAAGTAATACGAAAAGGCATGACTATAAAATTACCAAGCAACACAGACTGCCATCAGCTGAAAAATATTTGATTACTACATAATCTTATTTCCTGAAAGAGAGAGGTAAAAGTAATGTAATATACTGTTATCCCATTGCCTAGCTTCTTTAAAAATAACATGCCTTCAGAAATAGTATTTTTGCAATAAGGAAGCACTACAATTACAGCAGATAGATGTATTTATTCATCTTTTTTTTCCTATGCTGGTACAGTGGTTATTTTAGTCTCTCATGTGTAAAAAAACCAAACAACAAACTAAAAGCCAAAATCACCTTATAAGTGGCTTTCTCATCTACTTTGAATTTCAAGCCTGGTGACAGCTGGATCATAGAAAGTTTTGTATAAAGTGAATGTGAAGTTAATACAAAGGTGAAGCACAGGTAAGGTGAATGCAAAACAGGACTCAGTACTATGTATGGCTTGAGATGGCAAATAGCAGTTTTCTTATTTCCACTACAGAACACTGGAAAGTGCTGCACAATAGTATAACTACGTGAATGGTAAAGTTTCTTTTTTAAATGGAAGGTGTGATATGGTTGCATTCTCCCCATTTTGCTGAAGCGGTTTCACTCTGAAGGGAACATTTTCTATTAGTTTTACAACAAAAGAAATGCAAGATCAAAAGGCGGCAGACTTTTGTACTTACTTACCATAACTTGGGGCAAGGCTACAAAAAAACCCCGACAATGTCAAACTGCTCAGATGGTTTTTTATGAATGCCATAAATAGTGTAACTACAGTATACTTGTCATAACACAAAGCAGCACTGCAGCACAAGGATTGAAAGCATCAGTGATAATTTAGAGAGAAAGAGTAAATTTCTGTTTAGAAAAGGAAAATCAAAAGTACAAATATATTTAGAAACAAGTAGACAGTGATTGAAGTTACAGGCAGACTGTAAGGCAACTGAAATGCCATGCTGTTGTAAACCCAGAAATTCATACTGCATTGCATAAAGCAGAGCACTTGTATGTGACAGCCTTCACATACTTAGCCCTAACAGGGCCTCAGTTAGAGTATTAATTCTTCAGACCTCCATGCTTCAAAAAGAAACGTGTGCTGGGAGTCTAGAGGATAGCAATAAAAATTATTAGATAATTAGCTATTAAGACCTAGGAATATAGGTTGAAAAAACACGGTTTTCTTCAACATAGGACACAATAAAAGATGAAGGTAACATTCCCTTTGTTCTTGGCACACCCTCACGCTGTTAGCAGTTCTGGCCACAGATGAGTCAAGGCGAAAGGCTTAATTTGAGAGGGGGAACTGAGACATAATTATTCTCACCACTAGAAAGCTTTCTTATGTACTACAATCAGTTGTACAGAAGCACTTAGGAACATTAGAAACAAACATCTATCAAGGAGGATTTAAGTTTAGAAGATTAATTCTATTTCATATCATTGTCTACTGAAAATTTCTTGCTTTTAAAATAGATTGCTGAAAGGGAGCTTGTGTCTGCACCTTACATTGTATTTGAAACTTCTTGTCTAGATTTTACATCTAAAAATTGGCATGGCTCTGAACTAGCATCTTATTTGATGGACAAAACCAAAAGCATATCTGCCATCTCACCTTTTGCATGTTTATCTGGAGTGGTTGATGATGATCTATTTCATGGGGACGTCATTAATAAAGTAAGTTATTTTTTCATGGGGGGCAGAATTTTACTACAGTTGAATAAAAATAGTTTTTTATTACAGCCTTCTCACCTCTGTAGAGTATGATGGCCCTATGCTCAAGTATCACTCTTCAGGAGAAGTAATTTGAGAGGACACCAGAAAAATAAATCATCACCAAGTAGCACCACATTATCATAGTGCAAGAAACAGAACAGAGGCATGTAGGAAAAAAAAATCTGCGGTTGGCTTTCTCGCAAGGCCTTTATTCCTTTCTATGCTAAGACGTGTTCATTACTCCAAAATTTCAGATTCCAACCCTGTTTTGAGTTTGCTTTCTCCCTGCCAGGAATTACCTTTTTCTTTTTTTTTTTTTTTTTTTTAAATCAGTCACAGAGTAACCTCAAGGATCCTATCAAAAGGATGCATTATTGCATTGATCATTTGCTTCTCAACTAGGATTTTGGTGGTTATGTTAGCATAAGAATTAGCTTAACTGTAACCTACATTAACGTGTTTACTGTTAGCTTGCATCTTCCTGAAGTCTTCTACACAAGCTTTGTAGCATTAGGAATTATCACACAACTCATAATTCTGTAACAGAAAAAATCAAATTCCTACAACTGGAGACTTAAAGTTCACCTTCATCCTTAAAATATTCCACGCCTAGGGTTGATTAATACATTCAAAGCATCAGCGACAGTCTGAATGCATGATCTACACACATGGAAAAATCCTCTTAAAAAACTCCAGAGAAACCCAGTGGCCTAGTCAAACTTTAAATAAAACTATAAATCACTGAGAACATGCCAGGGCATGTGCATTCCAGAGCTGCACCTGCCCTGTAAGACACTCTACTATGAACTCTGTCCTGTGTTTTCAGCCTACACGTACTTGTGCAGATTTTTGGAGTGGTACAGGATTAGAAATGTTGAATGTTTCAGCTATGGGTCTAAAGGAAGTGGGTTTGAAAGAATAGGCATATAAACAAAACCACAGTAGCTATTCAACAGTTGTTGGGGTTTTTTGCCCTTTATTTTTTTTTCTTTTAGGCTGTCTTACGTTCCCTTGGAATTAATGTGACAAACTGCCCCTTGATTTATTTGAAAAAGTATGACAGTCAAGGAAGGAGGCAGCCACTCAATGCATATGCACTGGACTTTTATAAACATGGTTCCTTGATTGCATTACAAACTGATAACTGGTACGTACTGTCATTCTTAATATGGTTAAACAGCAGCACGGCTTACAATACATATGTACATCTTGTTCTTTTTAAAGCCTTCTCCCTCCAGCACATAGGGGTGGAATAGCTGTTAAATATGATTAATTAGTTGAATGTTTTAATGAGAATGAAACATATACTACATTAAAAACCCAATGGCAATGGATGTAAAGTAGTAGCTGGGTATTCAGGACAGTACTGCAAATGGGAAGTCTTGATTTCAGTGATACAAGTTATTTTAACAGGTTCTTCAGAATTATTTTTTTATTAAATCTTTTTTTTTTCCACAGTAAAAAAGATCAGGAAAGTCCCTGAAACAAGTAAGCCCAATGCAGTAGTTAGTGCCACAGCAGCAGAGAGATGCCAAAAGCTTGGTTAAAAAATAAAAGACAGAAACAGATTAAAGGAGGAACTCATGGTCAGTGTTAAAAATATACAGGCACCCAAAACACAAACTCCTTTCTGGTACAGGAAGACTATCATCATAGAAACTTGACTTTCACAGTAGCAAAGCAAAAATCTGTCAGTAATTCAGTATTTGTACCAGTATTACTTCAATGCTTCCCCTTTTCCTAATCATTTTAAGCATTTAACAACTTGCCCTGGTGATTCAATCATACTATCATCTCTCTTTAAAGCTGAACCACAAGCTCCCTCTCCCAACTGCTGTCACATATCCGTATTTTGCCATCATGCACATAACCAGCAACTTTTGTTTATGACTTAGAAAATACCACTTCACTCTGCTCCTCAAGAGTGTTGTTGAAAACAGATATTATTTGCTTTTTTGTAAGCTCTTCAAAGAAGATTCTAATTAGATGCACATTCCATGCACTGGTGTAGTTACAACAGCAGTCTAGCACTAGTGCCACACTACAAAGAGGAGGAAACACCCTGATGATAGAAGCCCATTCTTTGATTCTATCAAGCTGATCTAGCGGGAGATGTCCCTGCCCATGACACGCGAGTTGGAAGTAGATGATCTTTAAAGGTCCCTTCTAGACCAAACCATTCTATAATTCTGTCATTTTCAATACAATACTGATTGCAACTTTTAAGAAGTTGTCATTCTTAATTACTAAGAACTGAGCTTATTAAGTGGCTTTTCAGTAATCAGCAGTCCCTTCTGCAAAATATAGCGTCTTCTGCATCTCTAGAAAGCTTGCGCTAGCTCCTGCACAATTTAGCCAGCAGATATGCCTCAAGTATAGCATTCTAGTTTAGCTTGTGATAGGCTAGTCATTCAAACAGTTGAAACCATGTTCCCAAGATAATATTAGTAAATTATCTTTCCAAATATTACGCATTAGTCTTTTAAATGTTTAGTATAATTACAGAAACTTCTGTCTACTGCATTATTCTTTATTTTAAGTTTAGTTATTCTACAGTGATCCTAATGAAGTAGTACGTCAGTGTTTGAAGCCACAGCCTATGCTCTCTGGAGCCTTACCCAACTGACACAACAAGACTTTATTCAAGGTGAAGGACAGAGTTTATTAACAGTGAAGCAGTATGCTAGAGCACACATCTATTTGATTATTTTTTTTCTTTAGGTTAAATGAAGGAGATGCTTACAACGCAGTCAAGGATTTTGCACTCCTCATTAAGTCTATTAGGTATGATAAACTTGTGCTTTTTAATATACAATATATATTTCATTTTTAAAGCAACTTAAAATAAAGAAATGCTTTTTCTTTTCTGCCCTTTTTTTTTAACCCAGAACATCACTGAGTGAGCTGTGTGATGATCCAAATGATAATGTTCTACTGGCATTTGAACAACTGGACAAAAACTATTCAGAGAAACTGAAGCGTGCTACATGAAGACAAAAAGGAAAAAAGAAAAAAGCAGCAGTACATAATATTCTCAGAACACAGATTTTAAGTCAGCCTTTTAAGTCAGGTCTGAGTTACCAAACACATCTCATAATAAAGCTTTAGCAATGTCCAACAGCAGAAATACAAATTTTACTTTAGAAAATGAACCTTTACACATCGACATTTTAGCAGCTCCAATGTAAACTAAATGTTTCCAATACATTTCAAAGCTAGGCAGATGCAGCTATCTTTCAAGTGCACGTTTTTCCTTAATTGCACGCAGTGATATATATGTGAAGACAGCTCTCCAAAATATACTGAATACATGTCACAGTTATGACAGCTGGTAAGATTAGCTTCTTGGCAGGATTGCATTGGAAATTTTCAGGCCATTTGTAAAGGATGATCAGCAATTACTTTAGCAATTATAATCAAAGGGTTCTAATTGTTTTCCACGGTTTATAACAAGTAATGAAGTAGTACATTCCTGAATCATTGTAAGAGTTTTTAAACTGGTCTGCAATTTTAGCCTAAACCAATTTTAAGCATACAGGTGAATTTATATCAGTACAATGAAGTTTGATGAATAAAATGTTTCAACCATATCTAGAATTGCTTCATTTTTTGCCTCGTGTATCCATAAGACTCAGAAAGATCCAGTACATCTCTAGCATACTTGTCAAAAAGTTCCTTGCAATACAAATTATTGTTTAGTAAAATACATTTCTTAACTATTTTATTGCTTTTCCTGGGAAAAGTGAAGTGTTCAGCAGTATTTTGGTAATACTCCTGAAAATTCTTGTTTAACACTACATTTTAGTCTACTAGTTTGAAAAAAATGTATACGCACATTCTACGGGCTTTGACAAGTCCGCATTGCCACTCGCAAGTTCATAGATAGGTCTGTCACAGGGTGTTCATTTTATATGCTGAAGACTGCAATGTCTTTTAAAGTATTAGTAAGAGCAGTCAACATTTAATTTTCAATATGTATATAAAAAGCACCTCAATCCTGTTATGGCTTTTAGTAAGGAGTCAGTAGTGACCAGGGAATCAACTTGTGAAAATATCATAAAAATTATAATTTTAATAATTTAATATGTGTGTGGACTGTAATTTTACTGTGACCTATCATAAACAGAAGATTCTGCTTATCACTTGTCTCCCCTGAAAAACCTTAATGTCAAGCTATTATGCATCTGGACAACAACCAGCTTCGCTTGAAAAGCAGCCTTAGAACACTATAGAACATACACCTCAACAATTTCTGCTTCAAAACCAGAGTATCGCAGACTTTTTATTTGCTTTATGATTCTATAATGATGTCTTTTCACTAAAAGATGAAATATCTACTTGAAAATTTATCAAACTCTCATGAAACATTGTAACAGAAACAAACAGAAAATACATTGAAAATGAGCAATTTTAAGAAACCTGACAGAGTTTCTGAATAACCCTGACTCATTATGATTTTTTTGTCACTGTAGCAGGAAACAAACATTTTTTAAAACCTTCTGGCAACAAATTTTATATGTGCATTATCTGTCACTCTAAAATTGTTCCATTTCTCTTGCTTTCATTATAATGAAATCAACCTCCATCCATGACATTCTCTGCCATTACCATCATGCTCAGCCTTTGTCTTCCAGCAATTCAACTTAATACCTTTTTAGCACTTCCACACATGCAGAACAACACGGCAAGAACGTCTAGAGATAAAAGAACAATTCAGAGAAAACTCCTGTAAGGCTTGAGATGAACATAAAGAACTATAAAACCAAACAATTTTCATCACCTCCCTTACTATAAATTCAGATACAAAGGCAAGTTTTAGAAATTCTAGAAACTATTTTTCGGCACGTTTAATAGAGGGATACACTGCCACAGGAAAACCAAGGGCAAGAACCTAATACAAATCAAAGACCAACGTTTCCAAAACCAAGAATATTATTTCTAAGTATTCTATCACAGTAAGTATACTGTTAAGCCTTGCAGAGAATTAAATTTAAGTAATATTTCTCTTACAAAGTTAAAAAGATAGATTGTAATCTTTAAAAGAAAAGTTATCTGCCAGTAAAAAATTCTAAAGGGATATTAAACATTCTAATCTAATACTTGCCAGTTGACATATCTGCCTTGTGCAGGATTAATTCATTGAAAATCTGGCACCAGCTCTTGCTTGAGAGTGAACACTAAATGAAATAAAGCTTTAATCTGAAATAGTACTATACACTGTGTATTCTAATAGCTAAAGCACAATTATCTCTTGGATGTAACAAAAAGGGTTAATAAATTAGAAAAGATGGTACTTTAATCCTCACTTTGTATATTCTATAGAATAAAAATTCAATGAATTCTGGATCATCAATACTTACAGTAAGAAGTGCCTTTTTGGTTTTTTCCTGTCATCACATAAATTTTAAAGATTAAAAGCTAGATTCTTTTACTGCTTTCATTAAGGCAGCAGGTTAGCATCTCTTAGTATCTATTTTCCATGCTGTTGTCAAAAGGAACTGAAAATTAGCTGTGACTGTTACTTTTCATGAAGGCAGCATTTCAGAAGTGTAGCTGACACCCTTCTGCAATCCGTAACAAGAACGCTGATGTGGTATTTCAATTTCAAAACCATTAGAGAAATTATTGAAATTACACTAGAAGTTGCACCTTCAATACACATTAAATACATCATAGAAAAATAAAACAGCCAAAGGCAGATACACTAATCAATTTTCAAGCAATGCCTCCTTTATTTTCTCCATGGCTCTCCTCCCTCACTGCTGATGAGGTGAACAGTGCTCTCCAGACCAGCCCCTCCTCCTGTAACCCTGGGCAAACCCTGCAGTACCTAGACAGCAGCACACCCTTTCTGGGACACCTCAGACCCCCACCACCCGCACATACCCCAGGGGCACTTCTTGGAAGGTCTGCCTTCTTAAAGATACAGCAGATGCAGTCACATTGGAGTCTTTAACAAAACATCACATTTTTGGTTGCTTCTTCAGTTTGGGTTTGTACCATGAAAATCACTTTACTACATTGTACTCGCTGACCAGCAGTTAAGTTTCTAACGCAGAGGTATCTCAATTAGCAAGAACTGGGGAGAGTAACAGCTGTGAAATCACAGGTATCTGCACTTTTTAACGTGTTACTAAGCATTTATTTATCTCTAACTTATTTAAGTATAGTTATCTTCCATTTCACTCCCTCATGTCTCCGATTTTCTTCTAGTATGTATTTTGTCTTCGGCAACAGAAAAATACTCTGACGCACTGCTGGCATCGGTGGAGGCAGATGTTTGACTTAACTCTTCAGTGTCAGAATCGCTGTCGGTTCGCATTCCACCTGCCTCAGGTACCGTAAGCACAGAACCTCCCAAAGATGGATCATTGCACATGCCAGGAACAAAACAAGCTGCATTCCGAAACTGTACAGATTCGGGTTCATCTTCCCTCCTAAGACAGAAAGAGTTGTTTTCAGCAACAGTTTCACTTTCTTCCTCCTTTACCTTTGTTTCCTGTTTTGTTGCTGTAACAAGTCGAGCGGAAGATGCCCTCTCATATTTAGCAGGAAGGACAACTGAGCACAAAGGCTGACTACAAGAATTACTCTCGGCAACCATTTCTGCACTTTCCGTTCTCTTAGATGAGTTCATAGGAAAGACCAAACCTTCACATTTTGGAGGACTATGTCTAGAAGCAGGCTCTGCACACTCTGAAGACACAGGCTGCCCTAGATTTAAAAGTGTTTTGTCAGGAGATTGCATCTTCTCTTTTTCCATTTTTTCAGTACCATTTCCAGACAGAAACATGGAGGAAGTCAATGAATCAGAGGTATTTCTGACTGTGCTTCCAAATAAAAATTCTGACGAAGGAAACGAAAAACAATTATTTTTGAAGGAAAATATACAATTACTGGGGCGAAGGGGGGACTTGGAGACATAATACATCCCAGCTGCAGCATTAGTTTCTGAAGTGCTGTGAGCTACAGTTGTGAGGGATTCTGAGGCATTAGCTTTTTGTTTCCACAAGACAGATTGCTTCTGTAGACCACATTCTGCAGTTTCCCTTGCAGAAAGAGTTCTCTCTCTCACGTGAGGTGATGTATTTTTGTCACATGGCTTCTTAGATTGGCTAAAAAATGAGGAAAACGGTAAAACAAATGAATTGCTGACTCCCGATCCTGAAAAACAATTTCTTTCTGAATTGCCAAAAGGAAACAAAAAAGCTGGCTTCTCACTGTCTGCTAAATTAGGACTGGTTGAGGCATCGGAAATTGTAGTTTTGGTTAGAGGACCACAATTTCTAAGTTTGCTTTCATCCTGGTTATCAACTGTATCCACATGACCACATTTTCCTAGATAAAACCGAGGGAAAATGTATTTCCTGCCTTTCTTTTTAGATGAAAATGTTCCTGTATCTTTCATAAATCTGGGCAATGAGTTGTTACATGCACTGAAAGTAAAAGCTGAAGCAGAAAGTCTCTCTGCAGAAACATCTACAAGTTCTGAATCTGAAACGGTAACGGCTGCTGACGCTGCCAGTTTTGAGCTGCACAAAGTGCTAGAATTTGTGTTCATTTCATTGGAAATCACTGTTGATTCCTGCATTGGCAATTGTTCCTTAGTTACTGAGTCTTTAAAGTTTTCTGATAAGGCTGGAGTGGTTACTTTCTGGGAATTTCTCTCATGAAATAATTTTAAGTCAGCATTTGTTTCAGAAACGTCGGTACTTGTGGATGGGATGCTATGATTACTGGTTCCAGAAAAGCTTCTCTCAAAGCCATCTGTCCTTTGCAGGGTTCCCATTTTTACTTTATCACTGTTATTTGCTTTGGCAGGTAAAGACACAAAAGGAATTCCTGAAGACCTATCCTTCAAAGCCTCCGCAGTTACAAATCCACACTTTTCATTTGTAGGTAAAGTTTGTGTCTTGAACTCACTGGTGAGCTTCTGATGTTCCACATAGTATTTGTAACGTAACTCCTACAATTACAGCAAAGAATCCTAGTAAGTAAAATTGCAATTGTAGATTCAAAGGTTACAAAACCCACACACAGTGCTAAGTTTTTGTATATTCTACAGCATTTATAAGATATTTTTCTATTGCTGCTGAAAGACAACGGAACACAAGTCCTTATGGAAAAAAAGTTCTTTAAAAACAACTGGACAAAATACACATGGAACCCTGATGGCAAAGCAGGTTTTGAAATAGGAGACTACAGAGAAATAGGAGATTAAAAGAAATCTGTATTTAAAATCACCATGAGAACAAGAAATAGCTAAAAATAGCAGCATAAGTGACATTAAGTGACAAATTCTGAAACTGTCATGAAAAATAACCACCTGAAACCAATTTAGGTGGTTGGGCTTTGGGTTTTTTTGGCCCCCACCCCTCCTAGACACAGTAGCTATATAAATTGCATGGGAACAGAAAACAGATTCTCCATAAAGGACTTTAGCAACTTCTTCATTTAATCATCTACTATCGGTATTCTCAGAACACACATTATGTGATTCACTGCCAGCCATGGCTCACTAACTGTAACTAGAACCACTCTGTATGGAACACTACTCACTCAGCCACCCCCCTGGCACTGCTAGTAAATGAAAAAAATCTAGCTGTCTAACTATATTATTCAAAACAAAATAAAAAAAAGAAAGAGGTTGGAATCAGTTTCACATCAAGGTATCAGAAACCAAGGAAGTCTTAGAAGATTGAATTGTACTGTCTTCAGAAAACAGAACATAGGGCAGATGACTTGATTTCAAGTACAGAAGAGAGAAGCTTATTTGGATTTGAAAGCTACAGATGTGGCCCAAAGCCACGCTAAAATATAAGTATTTGAAGTCCGCAGCAAGATTAAGTTTCAGCTTTCTGAACAAAGAAAAAGTAAAATCCTGACAGCTTTAATAACCTAGTCAGATTTACATTTTAGAACTGGAAGGGTAATGTTCTACTAAGAAAACTGAAAAAAATTATAAAATCTGATTTAGAAAGTCGTATCATAACACATAGTAACTTAGCCATACTTACAACAGATGTTCAATCATACCTCGTGACTCATGTTTTGAAACACTGACATTTCTGATACTGACATTAAGCGAGTACAGATCCTGCTACCGTCTGCTTGTGCTTCCTCTTGTCCTGCTACAGGCTGAAAAACATGTTGCAGCAGACATTATAGTGCACACTGGCAAAATAAATTAAACAAAATAGTACAGTGTTGTAGTGCCATAGTCAATAACTTACAAGAAACGCGTTGGGTATATTTGTCTTGTCCTGCCGTTGCTTTATGTTACTTTTAAATAGAGTATTTTTTGTTGAGTTCTCATTTCCTCCAGAAGGTAGATCTATTAGAAAGAATACAAGAATATTGATGGAGACCATATAAAGTATGGAAGATACTGAAAGGTTCCTGTGCATCTAAACAGCTGCCAATCAATAACAGAAGTATATTGCACCTTAAAGGGCTGGGCAAGATGATCCTTGAGGTCCCTTCCAACCCGGTAATCTATGATTCTAAGTAAGAGCCTAATGCTTGCCAAAACTTCTGTGATATAAAGGAATAGGCCTGCATAAAAAAGTTTTCTAAATGCCCAAAGATTCCTGTCCTGATACAAAACCTAACATTTTCTCTAATGAGGCAAAGCATTTAATCAGAGCGTAGTTAACGTTCATATTACACTACAACAGACACCCATCTAGTTCAGCAACACAGTTCTGACAGTGATGATACTGGTTGTACAGCAAAATTATAACAATTCGTCCCTCAGGTTCCAAAAAATACATCTTAAGGACGTTCATAAAATGCATTTAAAAGCCCTGGATGAATTAATTTATCATCCATTAATTTGATCAGAGGCTTTGTGCAAGCTTTTGCAAAGCAGATTATTAGCAACTAGTTCCACAAGTTGCAGGTTCCCAGAGTGACTTCCTGAATCTTGTCCTATATAAAGTTCTTCTTCCCTACCTTTAACAATGTCTACATTAACGGGCATTAACTTCAAAGCCAAGATTTCATTAACTACAGGCTTGATATCCATCTTCTTTTGAGTATATTCTGGCGGTTTTTTATAGCTGGATGCTATATTCATCAGGTCAAGCTGAGTTTTCATTCTGGAAAAGAAAAAGAAAACACAACCAAATTTAAACACTTTTCTTAAGGCTTACATGTCAACAACTAAATTCGCCCTGCCTAATACAAAATATTATTTTTAAAAGAAGACACAATGAGGGAGAAATACATCAGAAAAATAAGTCTTCAATAAAATGTCAATTTTCCCACATTTTTTGTTAAAATGTTTTACTTGACAAAGTCACCTGAATTAGATTCCATACACAATGAAAACTTCCAGAAAAATAGTGCCCATAGTTCAGCAAAAAAAATGAAAAATAAAACTCATTTAATGTGCTATCCTGAATCTAAATTATACCCATTCTTCAGAGGGCACTCTAATGTAGTCTGAACTACAACATATTTTAAAGAACTCCATTTCCAATATTCTTTCTTAAACTCTGCTTAAAGCATGATACGAAATGTAATTAAGAATCTTTAAAAAGAAATATAGAGGGTGTATTTAGACATGAAGATTTCTGTAAAAGCTCTAGGCATGCTTCGGTGTTCCTGAATTTAAATAAGGCAGCTAAAAATATCCAATCACCATGTAACAATGAATTCCTATACTCAGTTTTTATCAGGAAGCCAATTCAGAAGACTGGTTCTCTCTAATGCCAGACAGCAGACAGTACATCTCTAAAATTCTTCACATAGTTCCTAAAATTTGGAATACAGAGTACCCCAAAAAAATCTACAAGCATTACGATGTCTTAATTACTAAATACTATTTTAAGTTGCTATATCTAACCATGTCCAAAGTAACTATTTTCTTGGTTTTTAATCTTAAAATTACACTACAGAACTAAAAGCATGAACAACAAAAAAAAATATATACCTTGTATTCAAGACACAGGCAACCTATAAACAAAACAAGAATTTGTAAGATATTAATGAGTTTTCCTCCAACTCTCAAAGAAGGAGATTATTGCTTTATCAAAATACTTCAGAGACTGAACTGCCAGTCTTTGTTTCACAGAACTACAGAAAATAAACCTGTTAATATTTTTTAAAAAAGCATCTAAATATTAAAAAGTTGTCTTTATCTTGTAATGTTTTGTATTAAAGACAAAAAAGGATCTCCTTCAGAGCAAAATGAAGGCATCTGAATCATGACCCATCCAGTTACCTAATCCATTTCAGACGTTCAGGTACTTATAAACATTCAAGCGAAGATTATGTTGCATTCCTTAGTGTGGGAAGACCCTGCTCTCCAGATGCTTTTATACTGAGATTAAAAAAACCTTAGTTTTAAGTCAGCCAGATAATAGCAGTAGGAAGTGCACTGCACTGTAGTTGAGTGACACTTTCCAAAGAACGGGTAATGAAAAATAAAAAAATGACTGGATTATAGAGTAGCTGCTTCCCTATAAAAGCTGGTGACCTCACTGCACTGAATCTTGAAACAACAACAACAAAGCCCCACCTCACTGCAAGGAGCTGTTACGGCAGGCAGGAGGGAAGACGCTAAGTTTAAAGCATACTAATCACTGGAGTCAGAACATTTCCTCCAAAACTGGGAATCACTTTTACTTTGGGTAGAAATGAAATCTTCTTTAACAAGTTGTTACCAGAAACCTAGTCTGAGTAATTTCTTAGCTTCTCATTTTCTGAAAGCAGCAAAGACCCATTGCAGCAATAGGCCATGTTTTCTTAGGAAAGCATAACCTCCCTTGAACATAAAGAAAAATAAGAATTACTAAATTTTAGGTTAAGTACTTTGCCCCATATCTACCATCTGCCTAAATTTCATACAACTGCAGCCATAGTGTTTGATGTAAATGAGACGAAAAGTCTACACTAACTTAGGTAGCAGTGAAGACGAAATTGTGTCTCGGGTTCCTCTAATAAATCAGTGTTTTTTCTCTGCAGTTCCCTTTAACACTATGAGGAAGACTTTCAAGGACCTGTTTACAGAAGTGTATATGCTGCATGGTACAGTGTGTGTCCAAAGTACCTGAGCTAACTTTGAACAGGCTGATTTACCTCTATTATACATCTCAGTGCAAAGGTTACAGTGGGTTTTAAAAAAGCAGTATCATCACCTGAGCTCAGGTGCCCCATCACGGTACTCCACTGTGCAGCACAGACACGTTACTGGTTCTGGCTCCAATCTTTCCCCAAAAAGTATTGTCAATGTCTTACAAGTTTACAAATGCAATGGAAGTGCTTAATATAGAAAGCACTTGAAAATAAATATGAAAAAGTAAATAAACATGAAACAAATTTAAAGGCAGTACTAGTAAATATCTCCCTACCCAGCACCAAGGCAGTTTACTTTCACAGCTGGTAGCATAATATAGCAAGTGTTACAGCAACAGCTACACAGTAAATATTCATTTGACTAGTTTTCACTGAAGAAAATAAGTGGCTACTGAATTCCCTAGATATCACTGTTAAGCTGCAAAGAAAGTTTTCAAACTTTTCTAAAAAGAACAGCAGTTTTACAAAAAAGCGTTGTTAAACGATTTTAGTCTGTTTTTTTTGTTTGTTGTATTTGTTTTTCTGATCCAGTCATTATCATAATCTACAATATAACATGCTCTATACGACCTTTGAGGTTCATTATAGAGCTGATATCAAACAATAACAAAAAGGCCATCACCTCCAGGAAACGCTGAGGATCACACTCATGGACAAGCTTTTCACAATCCTTCAAGAAATCCTCAATGGTCTTCTTGTGAGCTTCCTTCATTTTCTTCCAAATCTGAAATTCTTTCTCTTTTTTACTTCTTTGGTTTTCAACATCATCTAGCAATTGCCGTTTCTTCATTTCCAGAGTCTTGAAAATTTCTCCAAATTCCAGGGCAATTATCTCTGCATCATTGTTCAGGACCATCTAGAAGCACCAGAACATAAAACCAGATGAAAGTGCAGAAGCAATGCCTAAATGGAGTCACTTCCCTAAATAAAACTCAGAGCATGTCTATGTCACAAGAAGTGCCAGCATGCACCACGCTCTGATTAACTTGTGAGAAAAAAAGATACATATGTATATACACACACGTAATACCCAGCATCTGTAACTCACATCTGTGTCATTTGGTTGACTCGAGATTTCATTCATCAGCTTCTCATTTATTATCCTCATTTTTTTCAGACTGCTGAAGAAGGTTAACTGCAAGATAATTGAAACACCTATTATGACTTTATCCACTCTGTAAAATAGATACCTTTCAGTGGTTATCTAGAACCACATCATCACATGTTCTGAACAACACATTAAACAACAGTTGTGATTCAAAATATCACTTAATAATATTTAACACCTTCCTGAATCAGTACAAAAACTTTCTTTTACTATTTTTCTCTCTCAGGCTAATATTCTTAGGCTCACCTATAATGTGTATTGCTAGAACAGCTACAGGGTTATTTCACAGTTAAAACATTGGTTCCCTCAGCCTTTTTTTAACCTCTCCCCTCGCACACACATCTATCACAATCTAAGTTTTAACGCTGTTATTCCAGTTTGATGAGCAACTGTGTGATATTAACTTTTTTTAATGCCTCACACTGATAATATATAAAAGCTTTCTATAACTGAATTACTTCAGTTTTCAACTAAGATTATCACTGTTTTTCCTCCTTCACTGCACTACAGTGTCATTAAGTTTTAGGTAGCAAGTCTAGTATAAAGACCATTTTCCCAAGTGACACATAATTGGTGATGGGAGAAGCAGGACGGAAATCACTTGAAAAGCAGCTAAAGGATAAACGCTGCTGTACTTAAACATTTGTACCTATACTCTTCATCACTGCCCTGCAGTTTCAATTACTGCACAGCAGAACTGCCGTAAGACATGCTGCCTTGCACTCAATTTGCACAGAGCACGAAAAGCTCATGCTACCCAAATGGTACCTATTTTGACAAAAAAAATCACAACCACTACAACCAGCCAAACAACCCATAGACCAGGTAGTTGCTTTCTTCATGTAAACAAACAGGACTGCATTTTGAGTTTATTATTACTTACCTAAATCAATCTATTTCTAAATATGTAGTTATGACTCCAATTAACCATACCAGCCCAGAGAGCCTACAAGCAAAATATGCGTGGACAGTCTAGTGTTGGGGTTATTTTGTTAGTAGGATTAGCATCTTCTTGAACTTGGAAAAACCAGGCTCTGGCATGCGTTAGCATCGGTGCGTTTTTGAAAAGACTTCAAGTCTCCATATTTCAAAAGCTAAAGAAACATGAAAATCCCCAGCTCCTCGGGTGCTTTGGTAAGCCGGGTTCAGATCTGTCGATACTGTGTTATCGCTTAAGGCCCCCGCATGTGGTGGATGAAGTCTGACGGCAGCAGGGGAAGGCGCACCCCGTCAGTTCCCGACCAAAGCCCGACTC